AAAAAAAAAAAAAAAAAAAAAATATTGCACTGAAACCAAAACAACGGACTTATTTATCAGTCGGCAATAAGCAACTGAAACAATTAGTTGGTCTAAGGGACCACAGAAAATTCTTCATTAGTTCAGCTAAAACTGATGACAAATGTGTCTAGTCGAATTGCATGCAGTATGATATTGAATCATTTAACTTCAAAGAAACACTGTAATTTAGACAATTTCAGTCTTCCTCGTTTTTTTTATCTCTCTTTATGACCAATTGCTTTGGATGTCGTCTCAACTTATGATGCTTCTAATGCACATATCGTTTAGTGTTGACCGCAGGTGATTGACGTACTGTTTATAAATCACGAAATATATCAGGCAGTACCGCATCTCTTAATTTCAATGAACAAAAAGTAAAATTAATCATTACCTTATTGTTTAGCGCTTCTGTTAACTGACTTATTTAGTGGGATAAACAAAAAATAAAATACTTCTTTTGACCAAATAAATTAACTTTAAAACCAAAAAATTGATTACACAAACACTCACTGTGTGGTAACCACAAAATACAACGAATTAAAGCAAAATTTAGCGATAAAAATAGAACAGTAAAATTGACAGCATTTGTAAATCTATTAAAAAACAGAATTTTTTATTGATAAAATTATACAGTAAGAACGGCAAAGCAGCTGAAACTTTTGCAGCAAAAAGTTTTTTATGAATGCAAAAATAAAAAATAAAAATAAGAAGTAAAAGATAAAAAACCTTTTTTTTTTTTTCTCTTACCGTATTCGGACAAAACAGTTTCTTTTGATCATTCCTCAGCTTTCTGAAGCCAATATCACCCTTAGTACCGATTAAGTTTATATAGACATCAAAAATTCCTATCGAATTTGTAGTTTGAACAGCCACTTCGTACTCTGTCACTGAAATGTGTACAAATCAAGCTTCTGATTAAATAGTCAGTTATTTTAAAGAATTGTTTAATAAAGTAAAGATAAAATAACGAAGAAAAACTAAAATAATATAAGTCTCCGAGTACGTTTTTTTATTTGTCTTAGTCAAATCTTAGCTGTTTTTGATTAAAATACAGATAGACTGGTCTTTTTAAACTACATAAAAGTTCTATTTTCTCATGAAGTAACTTTTTTCTTTATTTATAGCCTTATTTTTTTACTTAAT